CCCTCCTGCGTGTCCTCAATTCTCTCAATTAAAAATTCTCTTTTCTCCCTCTGTCAAAACATTTTTTTCCCATTTACGTGTTGATATTGTCGCTGAAAGTGAAACAGAAATGTAAATAAATTAGACAACTAAAATCCCAATAGTCCCTGTCACTCACACGCGTTCCATTTTTTTCCGAGCGGTAAAAAAAAGGTAATTGTATTTATGGTTTTATACGGATCGAGGTAAACACGGGCGATTTCTTCATCGTGGTATATTGAGAGTTATTATTAGAAAGTGTTCGGTCGGTACTGGACATATGAGCTGATCTCTTTTTTTCTTTCTTTTTTTGCCTTAACGCATAACTGATGGGTGATATCTTGATTGAATCCATTGGAGAGTACCTCAGATATTTACTGTAATATTGAAACTTCTATAAGCATATTTGTATTTAGATTCCTACGAAAAAATGCCTGGTAATTTTCCATTCTAAGGAACGAAGCAAAAAGCCTTTGACCTCAAACCTCATTTTCAAAAATTATTCTCTAGTATATTTCACTAGAGAAATATTCATTTGAATTTCTACATTACGATAGGGGGATTGTAATAAATTCGGGGATAAAAAATTGCTGGTAAATATTTATGTACCAACCTCGAGAAAAGTTGAAGAACCACAAATTCAAGTTATCATTTTTTTTCAATTAAAAAATGAATGAGAACTCTTAAAGGTTTTCAATAAATGAATTTATCAGAAAATCCAATCTTGTTATACCCTAGTACCATACTTGAAATGATTTGCATTTTGCAAAATATGGACGATGAATTCACATAGAATCAAAAACTCAAAATTGGAAAGTAGAAGAATATTTCAAACATAATTCATTGTGTAATAAAGTAAATTTTATTGAACGAAAAAATATAATTAGATTTGACCTATTTTTCATGACAATTCTGTTGAAATTTTGATCATTCTGAGTTTGTACATTTGAATTGAACCCTCAACGATACTATGCATAATTACACATATGTGCGTTCGATTGCACCAAACGAACCGGTCCTCCTTGTCCCCACCTAACCCAACCATAAACTCGTTAATTCTTGTATCATCGGAATGCTGACAAAATTCCGCGTGTATTAGAAAGGATTGATTTTTCGTGAAATTAGGTATTTGATAATGATACTCCATACATAAACGCAGATACAACATGATGTTGTTGGAGCCTAAGCACAGCAGAGACTCGAGACCTACATTCTCGGCGCCCAGCCACGATGCCACCATAGCCTCATTTTTTACACCACCAATTCCCGAAAGTATCTTCCAACTGACATGGGGAAGAAAATATTCCGCTACATCATCTGCATTCCTTACATATTGCAAACGTGCGAAAATTGAATATTTCATGTTTGATCATAGTTACTCATAATTCCAGTAGGAGTTGAAAAAACAGGATTCCTCAATTCAACATAAGTTTAATGTTTAATAAATATCTTCAGCTCATAAAGAGATGGTAAAATTCTCATGGAGCTATTCTATGTAAATCTGATCTTGTTATAGAAAAAAAAGTTTTTGCACAGAATTTCACTTGAATTCTGAGACTTCTTACGAAAACATACATTTCAAGTCAATTTGATTTATCCTGTTTTATATGTTGTTACGCTGAATATGACATTTTTATATTTTACTTTTCACGGGGGTGGGGGGTTGAGATGTATTTCCGGAAATTATCCATTAACGAGCAATTGATAACTTGAGGGGTATACAGATTCTTCGTTTCACAATGAGGCGTCGTTGTATAGAAGAAAATTTTCCGTCCTGCTCTTCTCTTTTCCTCGTGCGGGGATTTGTATCGGCCCTCCCCCAAACTCGTAAAAGTGAAAATCCCTACAGAAACATATTCTTGTCGACCTTGAATATACTATTTCAAGAAGAAAACCTTTTCATTGAGTTGAGTTAAATAATTTGTTCCTTGTTTAGTCAATTTTTTTAATATTGGAAAAATTCGAATTAAATCGAACTCATTGAGGTTCAAGTAAGTTGCATATTTTTCTAATTTCCATAATTTTTATAAAATGGTGTCCGGTTGAGAGGAGACCAGGTAAAATTTCTCGAAAAACGTAAAAACAGTGATTATTTCCATTTTTGTAAACTCAATCGCCAAGCCGATACACATTGTTATGCAATATAGGTACCATTCCCCAATAATATTTCTGAACCAGCAACACTCCGAAGAATTTTATTTCCTATAATAATGAGACACTTGCCCTGCTGTAAACGAAAAACATTAATGCTAAAAGGTATCGCTTTGGCTACCATTTCCTTTATTTTTTATTAATTTTTAAAATATATTGATTATAAAATGGTATCGTCTTATAATTTGATAGATTTAGATTTTTTACTGCTGTTGCCCCATAAACATTGTTTTGTGCAAAAAAAATAAAAGTTGAAATGAGTTGCTCGCAAAGTAAATATTCCCCAGAAAAAACCAAAGTATCAAGTTAGTGGAGTTGAATCATTTTACCACCTTTTACTCAATCAACTTCTATATGCTCCTCAATTTGCCACATTTTTTGTTGGGCAATGGAGTTGAATATTTGTTAAAGTGTAATGATTATCTCAAAAAATGAAGGATTTTACGAAAAAATATCAAACGACTTTTCTTTTCTCCCAAAAATTTCTTATCGAAAAGTTTTTCAATAATTTGTCCATTGAACATTAATTATTGAAATAAACGAATTCTATCTTTCTATTAGGATAATGCCGCTCCCTCTCCTTTTTATATAAAAAATTGTATTATTATATAGTTCAATTGATTTTTGAAGGCCCTGAAAGTAATTTGAAAACTTTGATAACCGCTAAAATCAATCATTCAAGTCAAAATCACTTGTGCAGTTCAGAATTATACTACTTGTTTATTTAATCTCAGCTTTCCAATTTCAAAACACTGGAAGAATTTCATTCGTCCTTCCTTTATGTTTTCTGACATCTCATCATGTTTACATTTAATATCACCGTCTCAACAATCAATAAAATCCGAAGGACAATCGAATCACAAACACACATCAGAGCCTCAACTGGAAATTTTCTCCTAACACACTTAATCACCAATTATCGCTGAATTCCCCACTCCTTGAAATTACCACTCACATTTCACAAATAAACAAATGACTTAAACATTTTCTAATTAATGGAGATAAAAAACATGATGTTTACCAGTAGATGAACACAACACCAAAACAAATCCACGCGCTCGGAGAAGTGGAAAGTGTTTTTTTTTTAAATTTTTTACTACAGAAACCAACAATACGATTATTCCATTGGACTTGAACGCTTATATGGAGAATATCGGTGTTGGACCACAGGTCAGGACCAACTAGATTTGCGCGCGGTGGTAATAAACAGTTTGACACTACGGCACTGAGAAATACGCGCGTTAGACTCAACCTCGTCGTACGCCCATCCGTTCGACTTTTACGACTGCCCTGGTGCGCCTCACCTGTCTTTCCCTGTACTTTCTGACTGTTCACCAATGAAAGTGTACAGACCCCACTCATCTGATGCTCCTATACTCCATCTTGTCTCGCGATTCAAGGGAATTTTTCATTTTTGTGTGAGTTTATGTAGAGTCACAAGTGGATAAATGGCTGAAGGTGAATAGGTCTTGTGGATTTAAGGATTTGAGAGAGAAGGAACGATTTAAACGAAAACAAGAGGTTTTCTATGGGGAGAGGGGTCGAATACCCTTCGTCACTTCACAAAGAGATTAGAATAATAGTGGCGGATAGTGTTTGTGTATTCGACTCAATGTCAAATTTTGATAAATTTGTGCATTGGATGGGTTTTTTTCCGTAGCGAGAGTAATTTTATGTGGAAGAAGATTCTGTGAATATTGTTGATAGTGTGACTTGTTGAGGAGATAATTAAAGGGGTACGATTAAGTGTCAGTCATTCATTTTTCTTCAGTCGCATTCAATGAAATGAAAATATTCAATTCATTTAAGGATGTGAAGAGTGGTTTGGGGGCAGGAGGGCAGAGGGAGTTTGCAAATTCTTTTTGTGGAGGTGTATTTTGGTTCAGAAAAGGTCCTTTAAGGTTTTTCTATAAGGCGGATTACTCAAAAGAGAACTGGAAGTTGATTGGCGGATTTTTTCCATCATATTCAGTGAATTATAGCAATTAGAACTCTGAAAATAGAATAAAAATTAAAATTGTAGGTGATATACTGGTCTTTTTGAAGTTTTTCTTGATTATTCTTTTCAATCCGATTTCGACTAATCGGAACGTCGGCTTTAGGTGCATTTGACCCATTTTTCACAGTGATAATTGCCCTATACAGGCTGTAGTCTATTCATTATTTTTGACCAATTCGACAGGTGCTCTCCACATTTTGGTGGCATGTGTCATGTCATTCCGAATACAAAACTCTTATTGGCAAAAATCAGAATGAGCCGAATACCTCTCGACCCTAAAAATCCATAGGATATTTCCGAATACTTTTGCTGTATATCAACGATTGGGATAATTTTTCAATCTGCAAAATTGATCCCTTGTTTGCTATCCAATAAAACTATGGAGAAATATTCAATAATTTTTAAGGTCTTCAAGTATTACAATTAAGGAATGACAATTGCCTCAATTTTTTCCATTTTTCTTCCACTATCATTTTGAGAATGAATTCTCTTAAATCCTCGAATATTTACTAATCGAATAGTCTAAATGAAATGTATAGGATAAAAGTTTGGAAATTACATTAAGTGTATTGAATTATACACCAATGGTCTCAAGGGTTTGAGATCATTCGTTCTTGATCACGGAGGAATAAAGGATAGATCTGAATTGATTCAAATCGCAGTCGTGCAATTTTTTCCACTAATAACGTCACGAGTAACGACGATTCATATTCAGGTAACTATACTTTCGGCTTGAGTAGTGGGTGTGCATGATACACTTTCATTCAAGATTTTTTTGCCGTCTATCGATGCAACAGAGCAGACACACTACACAAGATGGCTACCAATAAATCCCTGTGGTCATCGCCTGTGCAGCCATTAGTGTCTCTCTAGAACAGTTCTCACTTTTGATATTAGGGTTTTGGTCATTGTTAAGGTAGATGAAAATTTTTTGTCCAGTTAAGTGGAGGAGTTTCCTTTTATTTGAATAAAGAAATTTGGGTCATTCTAAACTCAACTAGAATGTAGGTAGTCAACCTGTTTCAAGCAAGAATTCGAGATTTCGGCGATGTTGAGTATTTATTTTGCTGATTTTTTGTATGTTAATTCTTTCACATTACATGAGTGGAATTTCCAATTCTCGAAATATTTCAGCGATGTAAATTCAATGAAGTTGATTTTTGTAGCAATTTTATATCGATAAGTTGTCATTCCTTCTTTTTGACTTCCTGTAGCTTATTGAATATTTAAGAACTCTCGATGGAATACATCTTATGTGGACAGGCTATAAGGCAAACTCCTTTTGTATCAAAATGAGTTTGCTTCTTCTTGTTGATCTTTTTTTTAAACCGAATAAACTAATCAGCTAGAGTAAAAAAGAAACATTTCAATTTTTTTTTTGTTGAAAGAGGATGGGTTTCTAATAAGGAATGTTTCCTTTTGAAAACAATCCTATTAGTTCTCGAAGTAGTAAAGTAATCGTTTCATCATAGATTACCTACTATTGTTGTGATTGTTTTTAAATTTTGATTCTGAGTGGAATGATTTACAATTGTTCTTTGAGTTAGAAAAATCCATGAAGATCAATTCGATTTCCCAGGTAGAAATTTTTTTTTTTTAACCATGTTTTTATTCAATTTTAACAATTGGTATTTACAGTTATTTACAATATTTATGTCATAGGTGCCCAGAATCACGCGATTCTAACCTCGCTTCGCTCGGTAGAATCGCGGATTCTGGGCCCTATGACATAAAATAGTATACGAAACTCGTGCGTAATGGTGTTTTTTGACTCGTGGGATTATAAAACTCGCCTTCGGCTCGTTTTACAACTTCCCACGAGCCAAAAAACCCATTACGCACTTGTTGCGTAATATACTATTACATTTAAAGAAAAAACAGGTACATAAAAAAAACTTAATGATAAGTAACTGAGTTATTATAAACCAATGGCCACTTTGTGACTCTCTAGTTTAATAAATTTTCTGGTATTTAATTATTAATACTTCGTATTTTGGTTTGATTGGCTAAAGCCTATGCCCAAACAGATTGCCAATTTTTTATAAGAGTTTTTGCGCTCCAAAAAAGGAAAATATAAAAAAAAAGAAAACTATAATTTAATGTAAAAAAAAAAGCGCTTTTGGTATTCGTTGGTAGAAAAATATTTTAAGATTTGATTAGCATTTGTGTGCCCTTTACCTTATTTGTAAAGGGAAGAGGAAGTGCCAGTCAGTTTATTATTTGTACTGAAGTACTAGTTGCCCTGAGTTCTATATTACTCTGAGATAATTGTCTTGTTGTCAGTCTTTTTGTATTGATTTTGGTGTTGTAATCTGATTTTTTTTTTATGGTGGCCTGAAGTTATTCCTCCTAAATCTATTATGGAACTGAGTTCTATTTTTATTTCTCTCTAAGTGTATTTTATGTCTGGCTTTCAGTTCTGGAATAAATTTATCATTTTCATCCAGCCACCGATACTTTCTAGTTATTCTATAGAAGTCTTCAAAGTCAATATTGGGAATTTCTCGTGAGTATTTGAGCTCTCTGTTCAAAAAATCATCCACTGGGATTTTATTGTTTTTTTTATGTCTTGGGATGTGGTAGAGAATTGGACTGTTTTTATCATCCTGGAACAGACCAATCTTATCAAATGATATAAAGTATTGGGGTTTAATATTACCACATCTGGCTCTTTCTATGGCTTCATGGTTTTCGAAGTTAGTTAACTTATTGATTGTTTCATTTTTAATTGTTTTTAATTTTCCATAATAGTTACGGGCTAATTTGAGGACGAAATTATCGATCCTCCCAGGTGGAAATCGACTATAGCAACAGGGCTCATCAAGCCCAGGACCAAGGCTTGGAAATACTCAATCAGGGCTGAGATTAGCCGTGGATCAGCCCTCTTTCAGCCCCAAAATGATAACCTCGTTTCAGGCTTGGAACATAAGGCTTGAACAAGGCTTGCTGCTAAGGCTTGATGCAAGCCTTGAATTACCAAAGTGTAAAGGCTCTATCGCGCTCCGGTTAGATAAATTATATTATTGTTTATGGATATTTGTTTGGTACATCACTATTGATTAGCGTTGTTGCTGAATGTGGTTGTCAGTTAATTAACAATGGATGCGAAAAAAATTATTTTCATCTATATTTTCTGTTGATTATTGGCCCTGGATTATTACCGCACCCCTGGAAATTGAAATACAATGAAATTAAACATTGAAAAAATTGTTCTTGGTGGGATTCGATCCGGGGTCCCTCTGATCCGTAGTAGTCAAGCGTGCCGTCCAGTATTAGGCCACCTGTAACTTCATATGACCATACTTTTTTTTCGGGTATTAAAATACGTGATGTTACTTGGTGTATCCCCTATTGAAACTCTCAGAATGTGAATAAATGATAGGTTGGATGGATTAATGAGTATAGAATAAATTGATTGATTAATTATAGATAAGGATAGTAATAATTATGCGACCTCGTGCACAAAGGCCTAGCTTATATAAGCTCATATGATTTGGCGGAAAATGATGGCTATGTTAGCAGGTGATGTTAATGTTTTAACCACAATTAGTGAATGGTTATTGATAGAAAAATTAAGGAAATTAATCGAAAGTAACTTTCATTTCTCAGGCCTTGCTGAGCCTCCAATAACCCTTGACGTACTGAGCCTCAATACTTAAAGCCTGGACTAGGCCTGAATTGAGCCTCGCCAATGGTCCCTTTAATCACCCCCATTTCAAGCTGGAGTGAACGATAAAATCAAGCTTGTCCCAAGCCCGAGTCAATCAGCCTCGCTAAACCTAGGTTTGTACAGGCTTGTTCCCATCGTCAGCCTATACAGGGTGTTTCAGAAGTACATGTACATCTGAACACCCTAGGATCAGGGGGTGATTCTGAGCAGAAAACTCCTCTTGCACTTTTTNTCTCTCTCTCTCTCTCTCTCTCTCTCTCTCTCTCTCTCTTCGCTGGAATGACGAAGAGGGGAGAATGAATGGGGGAACGTAATTCCCCCTCCACACGCAATGGAAGGACGATCAACCGATCGTCTTTCCATTGCTTACAGCGTCGAGTGGCGCGGGGAACGCGCGTCATGGTTGAAAATTGAACGATTTGGCGAGCACGGCGCGAAGCGCCGTGCGAAGCCTAATCGCAATTATGAGGAGAGTCTCGTTCGAAGAGGTCACTACGTAGTACCGTCCCTGGACACGTGATGTCACCACAGCTTTCAGCGCTAAATACCAAAAAAGACCGTCGACAGCGCCACTCATGCCCCCAACACCTCATA